GTGGTGCCATGGCCATTTTCTTTAAACTTTCTTTTCTGAGTTGCCTCATTTATGAAATAGGGGTAGTAATAAATGTAGTAATCAAAAGGATCTGTTGTATAAATTAAGAGTTAATACACATAAAGGGCTCAGAATGGTACCTGGCACATAGTAAGTGCTCAGTAAACAGCTGGTGTCACTATCATCATCAGCACCACCACCATCATCAAAGACTGTCCCAGTGTCCGCATGGAAAATTTAACATGTTCCTGAGCTTTCTGACTTCTCTGAGCAACCTGTATCCAATAAACTTCTCCACTGTACTCCAGCAACCCACTTCCATAGTTACACCCTAGATCTTGTCATCACCAGAATTTCTCCATCTCCAAGGTCGCCAAGTGAGTCCAAAGCACACATCCCATACTCTGACCACTACCCCTGTCCTTCCAGGACTCATGTTTACCTGTCCCCCCACCGTCTGCTTGCCATCACAGAAACCTCTAAATGCAAAACTTCTGTCTTACCTCTGTCAGCCCCCTCCTATCTTTGCCTCTTTTCATATCTTCTTACACTCTCTTGACAATAACCTCAATTTCCACACCCCAGTTTTCTTCTGTACAAACTACCTAGCAAAACTTCTGTCTTATATGAATCAAACTATCAGCCCTTTCTTGATAGGGTTGCTGAAAGCCACAGCTGTAAAGACCAGTACCGCTGCTGTAAATGCCTCACCTCCGTCTTCCAGGCTACCCAGCAATCCTTCTATTTCCTTACCTACTTTGCCAACTCCTGTCCTTCAAAATGGCTATTTCAGACCTTTACCATTCACCCTAAACCTGATCTCTTGCCTATTACCCACTTACCTCTGCTTCCACTCTCAATAAATGATCTGTCATACCTTACAAAGAACAGGACAAGATTAGAACTACCGTAACTTCCTTCTGCACAACCTATAAACCCACTTGACAGCATCCCATCCAGCCCTTTCTGCCTTTCACAATGGAGGAGGTATCTTGTGTGAGGCTAAGCTTGTGCTCTGTGCTCAGTATTCTAACTCCTCTATCCTATAAGGCAGCAGGTGGTTTTAAAGTGTGGTCTCTGGGCCAGCAGCCCTGGCACTCTCTCCAGGAACTTGTTGGAAATGCAAATTATCAGGCCCCACTCAGACCAATTGAGTCAGAAACTCTGGAGTTGGGGCCTACCAATCTGTTTTTAATAAGGTCTCCAAGTGAGTCCGATGCATGTTGAAATCTAAGAACAAACTCTATGTTGTTCAGCCCCTTTCCCGTGTCTCTACCCTCCTTTGGTGCAATGGTTCTCTTGCCTGAAGAGCCTCAGGACACGCAGGGCTGACCCCTGAACAACATGAGTTTGAACTGTGCACCTCCACTTATGAGTGAATTTTCTTCCACCTCTGCCACCCCTGATATAGCAAGACCGACCCTTTCTCTTCTTCCTCCTCGGCCTATTCAATGTGAAGAAAATGAAGAGGACCTTGATGATGATCCACATCCACTTAAGGACTTTAAATATAAAATTCTCGGCTCAGCACCTGTGGCTCAAGCAGCTAAGGCATCAGCCACATGCACCTGAGATGGTGGGCTTGAATCCAGCCCAAGCCCACCAAACAACAATGACGGCTGCAACCAAAAAATAGCCAGGCGTTGTGGCAGGTGCCTGTAGTCCCAGCTACTTGGGAGGC